GACTCCACCTGCAGGAAAGAGAGGCCTGTCATCTGAGTTCTTCCATTTAAATTCCGCTCTCTCCAAGCCGTGCTTGCTTGTTTTGCAGCCTAGTCTCCGAACTTTTGTGTGGTTACCAGTATTGTGACTCTAAAACTGGCTTTAACTATTTCTGCCTTCCCTGACCTTGAGACTACCTTTGACTTGCTTCTCCATCCACCTTACCCTTTTGGATTTGACACCTGGATATTCTACTATTTAATAAAGCACCATGCCATCATCCACCGACCAATACCCTCTCTCCACCTCCAGAGTTTCTTGTAGGTTGTGCTTTTAAGAGATCTCTGTTCTGCTGCACTTTGGTTCCAGATCCCAGAAAAACAGAGCCCAGTGGACCATCACAGATTCAGAGCATTTGTGTCTCCATGTTTTGTTTAGTTTTTGTGCAGGAGTGTTAGCATTGCTATTAGTGTTGGAACAATCGTATCATTATGTGTATATGTGCGCATATAACATTACATTATTATGTGCGTATTATATGTTGTTGGTGAGAGGTTAACATGGATTATACATGAAGCACTGCTTAAATACAAAGTTTACATGTAAAGGTTGGGCCAACAAACAAAGATACCACAGAAAATCACCAACAGATGGCAGTATTCTTAAATAAGACAGACCACACAATACCAATTACCTCCTGCAGGTGGCAATACAAAAATTACAGCTTATTTATATATGCAGTAGCAAAAGTACCCACTAGGTATTTCATTTTCCACAAGGAAAAAGACAGATTGGGGTTGTCGTGCCGATACCTGACCACTTTGCCTATTGGATATATAAAGCTTATCATGGTTTTATACCAATTTCTTCTAGATTGTAAACTTTTGTGAGCAGAGTCCTCATCATCCTATTGTTCCTGTAACATTTTGCATTGTTGTATTTCTATTGTTAAATTTCCCCTCTTTAACCCCTTAAGGACTGGACTGTTTTTGCGATGTTGTACATTTGCGACCAGGCATATTTTTACACTTTTGTGGTGTTTGTGTTTGGCTGGAATTTTCCGCTCTCTCATTTACTGTTCCCATACAAATTATATATTGTTTTTTCAGGACAAAAGGGGCTTTCTTTACATA